GCTTTTGGTCCACTTCCAGGTCTGCTGCCCAGTGTGCTGGAGAGCCCCCCGTGCTCCTGTGGGACGCTCCATCCGCCCCAGCATCGCAGCATTCATGAGCCACCTGGTACCTTGAGGTATGTAGAAAAAATATTTAAAACTGTCTATATCCGAATCACTGAATCTTTCCAAATCTCTCTGAATCAATTTTGAGGGTCACAATTCAATTCAGAGAGATTAAAGGGTCTCCTGATTCAATTCGAATTCGGAGATTCAGTCACTGAATCGGGCCAAATCTCCACCGAATTGAATCAGGGACTGAAGCTTTGCACAGCCCTAATACACACACGCACACCCGATAAGTGCCATACTGGATCAGACCTACTGTCCATATACTGTAGTCCACTATCTTTGTCTCCAACAGTGGCAGAAGTGGATGCTGTAGAGGGAGAGCATTGAACCAAATATCTCTAGAATGATCTATCCCCGATTCATTACCCTCCCCAGCATCTACCAGTATAGGTTTAGAGATGCCAAAGGAAACATCTCTAACCATTCTGTTCAATATCCATTAATAGATCTATCATCCATGAATTTATCCAGTCCCTTTTTGAACCTGGCTAGCTATCCACCTCCACCACCTCATAAGAATACACACACACACACACACACTCTCTCTCTCTCTCTCTCTCTCTCCCTCTCTCTCCCTCTCCCTCTCCCTCTCCCTCTCTCTTGCTCCCTGTTTGGGAGCAAGGAAACTCTGGAGTCAATGAAAAATGACTGAGTGAGATTTTGATTACAGAAGGACCAATGAGCATACATCAAATAAGAAGAACCCAAAAAAGCCTCTCCCCCCTCAAAATAAAAATCATTCATATTTAAGCTTTTACCAGTATTTTCCTCTTCCTGGAGAGGAAAGAAACAGTCTGGAATGGTTCTTCTCATAATATTTCTGACTTATCATACCCAAAAGATTCTTCTAAAAAAGTCTGAGTTCCCGAGTTCTCCAGGCAAGAGAAATTTTGATAACTAAATCTGATCAGCCTCTGAAACTTCATGATTTTTATCTTGCCTCACTAATTGCTATGTCTTTCCTCTGAACACATGCTTTAAGGAAGACAAGGATTGTTACACATCTAGTACACCATTTACATCAGAGTACACTTACACTCAAGATGAGGACATTGCCACCTGATGTTTGCATGACACATTTTGTCTGGATACACGTTCCACAGCACTCATCTTTCGCAGGCTTACTAAGTTCATATCCCTTTAAAAAAAAAAGTTAAAAGCTTTTTTTATTAAATAAAACAAACTAATAATACCAGCACCATATTAAAGGATTGTCTCAGGGAAGCCAGCCAAATGGCAGAACTGATTATAATTTTAAAGATTATTTAGAGCAGTTGGCTTCTGCAATGGAAAAATCAACAGGTAAATATAAAAAAGATTTTAAAAATCTAAGTATAAATAAAAGTAAGATATAAACACAGCTATTATAATTGATATGTTTAGTCTTTGAGTATCTATTTATCTCCAAAGCACTTTATAGGTATTTACTAAGTAAATGTCACAATATAATTATAAAGCTTTAAGCAACATATATCAAGCATCATTATCCTCCACTCCACCTTTTTTTTTAAAGAGAAAGAAAACTAATTGCCAAATAAATCACTGTTAGAGCTAGAAGAGAAGCTCTATGAATTCCTAGCTCCCAGACCCTTGCTTAGATCACACCTCTCTCAATCATGATTGTGTTTTTCAGAAAAATATCAATATTTACACAAACAAATCTCTCTTACTTGATCACATTTTGTGTTACATGGAAGAAGTTCACATGAGATGATATTTAGTTCAGTGCTGTTATCCATATGCTCAGTGCATTTACATTTTTGACACTTATCCTTAAAGACTGGACGACCGGGCTAGAATTAAAAAAAAAAAAGAAAAAACAGGAAAAAAAAAAAGCCAGAATCCAGGTATTAGCAAGGTGCAATGTGTCAGCCATTTCCAATGTCTAAAATCACTCTAAAATAAGCAGCTACTAGGAAAACATATTGTAGATGCATAGGAACTAATAGTCAACAGTTTTATGTAAAGAGCTGGACTTGTGCAGGTAAAGTGAGTAGTTTAATACCTAACCTAGTTTAGTGTTTCTATTGAAGCCCTAGATGATGAAGGTGTACCAAGCTCTTAAGGTAACAGGCACCTTTTAAAAGCCCACAAAATAACAGATGAAGTTAAGAGAACAGTATGAGGTATATATCAGTTCAGAATATGACTTTTACCCAATTCTTTATAGTTTTGACAATGGTGCATTGAAACAGAGCAACGGAGTGCTGACATTTAATGTGCACCGTTTTCGGTATACACTCATTTTATATTAAGAACAAATATATCCCTGGTTCTGCTACTTGGAAACAGCGTTTTTGTGATATGTAGCAACTTTTTCCAACAGGTTTTAGGCTCTATGTAACTGATACATCTACTATTGCAATCTGAGTGTCTCTAAAAATGGACTGTATAAGAGGCAACCTGCTTCAAAGCCCCTCTGTTAAAGGATGTTGTTGGGATTCACGTGTATGAGTCCCTCATATGGTTTCATCCAACAATCCCTTATGCAAAGACATGGGGACTTACCTGGTACTCAGCAGCGTCATATACACAAACTCTCTTGGAAACTGTGAAAAGAGATGGGAGTTTATAATTATGTGAACAACTGAAGTACTGAATTTTTTAATCCATGTCTTGGCCACTTCCTCCACAAAATATCATAAAACACATTCTAAAAAATATAGCCCAATCTCTCATCTTGTATTGCACCCTGTTCAAGTGTGACAAGGCACAAAATGTACCTGCCAAACAAGAAGTCTGTCTGGTTTGATAAATACAGCACAATATCTATATCCTAGGTTTTACACCCTACAAACCCCATTTGACAGATGCAAACTATTTCCTGCTTTTCTTGGGATGACATAGGGATGGTTCACCAGCTTTTCTTATTGTGAATGCTCATAGGGGCATTTGATTATGGAGGCTTGAATGGGGAATGTAGTCCTGGTCAAATCTCCCATTACCCTTACACAGGCATATAACCAGAAATATTTGACCTTGAGCAAAATTACTTGACCTGCTTGCACTACTATTTCCTCAGCTGTTTCCTGGGTTTACCCCTAGTAGAAACCTAGACAATACGATCAATTCTGCTACCCCTTCCAACAGACAAGCTTATACTATCCTCACTCCCAAATGTGAAGTGAAATACTGACTACAATATTATGCTGATAAAAGACTTACTGCACTTATACTGAGGACAGCACCCGTCATGGGGAATAGAGGACTGAACTTCAAATCCTGGTTTACATATAGGTGGTTTGCTTATGCACAAGTTCGTGTTGCATCCTGAAAAGGGGAAAAGCCAAGAAAAATGTAGATTGATATATGTTTATAAGTTCTTGGTCCAAGCATTTAGCAGAGCTGAGCTTCACAGGCTAATCTCACTTACCTTAGCCCTAATCATTTAGTATTTCAGCTAAAAAATAGAGTAATACAGAAACACTGTTTGTAATGGCACTTCTCATCCTACAGCTCTCTGATCAGAAATCTCTGCCTGCTCTGAGCTAGGAATGGGTTGATACTGCCTTGTATACCTGCTGCCTTTGGACCATGAGTCCCAGTTCACCACTTTACTATTATAATGCACAAGCTATAGATATACACACAATGAGACAAATTCATTCCCTCTCATGGAAGAATGTGCCAGTTGAAATTCCCAGCACCAGTAAGGTCAGTTGCTCCCCTGTAATAGGATTCAAAGGAATGATAGTGGTGGTGCCATTATCTGTTCTTCCAAGGTGCTCTGAAAATCCACTGGCAGAAGCTACACCTAGAGGATGCATCAGAACAAGACATCTCCCTGGTAGTTCTAAACAGTTAGCACTGCCTCATTTTGGGGTGGTGATATTTGGCAATAAGCTTCCTAGAGAAGAGAGGTTGTAGACTCCTTGCTCTGCAAATTACCTTCATCTCTATACACTATCTATATGCCACATCCGATCCAGTGGAAGCCAGTAGACCTAGTTACTGAATGGTGGAAGATTCACTGGATGGTGAAGACCAATGTAGCATATAGCCATCACACATGAGAAAACTGTAACAGTGTACTATGCAGATTAATAATTGGAGAACTACTATGAGACCTTATCTCCAGGACTGCAATCAGCTATTGCAAAACAAAAAAACCAAGATCCATGTATTGTTCTACATTATATCATTGTGTCACACTGGACGCATCTACAAATGAAATTAATGCACCTGAATAAACTCCAGCACGTTCATGCTCGAGTTTATTGCTTCCAGGTGCAGCATTTACATGTACACCCGAAACCATAGAGCATGGAGCTACTCTCCCCTGGCTCAACATGCTGCAGAGGGGCTGGCAGGGGCATGGGAGTGTTCAGTATGGACCTAGTTGGCAGGCAGCCCCTGAACTGTAGCACCTTTATGCCCCAGCCAGCCCCAGGCAGCATCTACACATGCATTCCAGTGGAGTAAATAACTCTGCCATGGGATAGTACTTGTGTCAGACAATACTTTCGTATGGTGGAGTTAATTAATTTACACCAGCCTAATAGTATGACACTTTACTGCAGAGCTAATTAGTCAACTCTGCTGTAAGTGTGTGTGTAGATGCCCCACTGAGTATGACATGACTCTGAACTCAAGAATTAAAAAAAAATCAGATTATTTTTTTCTGAACTGCAGCACAGCAAACTGTTAGTTTGAAAGCAGTGCATCCTTTAAAAAAGACCAGCTCCTTTTTGAAAAACATACATAAAAATATGATTTCCTGGCTCATCTAAAAATGTCTGGTGCTAGCCTCTTCAACTTTTTTCTGCCTTTCCACTTCCAAGGGACAGTGGAATGCCAAAGGATGAACTTACTGCAGACAGTTTTGTTGCAACAAATGTCATTAGGGATGACTTCAACAACCTCATAAAAGCCTTCTCCAGTACATTGTGGCTTATTTTCTTGCACAGCACATTGGCGAGGCTCACAGATGATGCCATTTCCACCATCCAGACAAGTGCAATTCTGACAGTCAAAGATAAATTTCTCCCCAAACTGTTACAAAAGATAGGAAAGAGAAAATGGATGAAAGGTCAATACTTAGAGAAAAAAATTAAAATACAGCTATTTTATAAGGGACTATTTTATCAGTGTTATGTGTGTATTTATTTATGTATACATATCTGTCTTTGAGCGTATGATGGAAAGCAAAACAGAGGGGCTATACATTAATTATACTTCTATCTGGAAACTTGTTATTAGTAGCTGTCTAGACAATATCTTCCATCAATCAGATTAAGCTAAGTATAAATCAAGGGTTTTAAAATTTGAGACACCCAATCAAGTAAAAGCCTGGTTGAAAATCTGGGGGTCTTCACAAAACATGGCATATTTGGATGAGACAAAAACAACTTGAAAGAAAAGTAAATGTACCTCTCGTGGTATATTATCTGGTCCAACACACCCTGCAGATAGAAAAAGATAAACCTTCGTTACCACTGATGCAACAAGCTGATTCAAAACTAAAATTTACATAGCTAGACAACATCAAAAGATAAAGATAAAAAACGTACCACAGGTTTTTACACAGACATCCATACCAGGACTATACAGCATTGTCCCACTGGGGCAGAAGCAGCCTTCTGCTTTTTTGTTACTGTCTTGTTCTTCTGGGCTACATAGGATAGAAATTGCAGAAGACCACCATTATCAGCAGAGAGATACACAGATAATGCAAAGTTGAGGCAAATTTATTTTACTCAGAAAGATATAGGCAAAAGAAACAGTATCCATGAGATTTTTGGACTACAAGCAATCCTGTTTCAAGTCATAATTTATTTCATTTTGTACAGAAGCTAATTTAGTCATGTCAGAGGTGCAACAAGAAGATAAAGGTAGTTATTATTTTGATAGCTGGTTCAAAGTTTGTCTATAAGGATATGGATGCACAGCCTGGTTACTATAGAGTAATTTATCTTAGGTTTTACTCCCTAGTACGTTGACTCAGCAGTACAAAGCAGGTACTCAACCACCTCTCCCAAAGTAGCTGCCTGCAGTAGGTGCTATTATAGAATCTGGCCAGTAAGTGGAGGGCGGGGCAATTTGTACTGTGCAAATGGCTACCTTGGGCTAAAGCTGGGTACAGGGCTTGACACATTGTATGTTTTATGTAGTACATTTTCCACATAGTGAAGGAACTTTAATCTGAACTAGAGTAATTTTTTGTATAGTCGGGATGTGCTTCATGTGTTCACTCTATTTTGTTTATGCAGTAAATTCCATTTACTACCAGGTAAAAGTGTTGTGTGCTTGTACTTTTAGAGACATTATTAAGATTTTAAAGTTTGGTTTCACTAATTTCTTTGTGGGCTAGCTACCACTAAATAGTTTGCTACTTGGCAGAGAAGTAACTACTTACCTTGTTTTGCAGGTCTTTTCTTCAATAGGACCACATGCTCTATATTCTTTTTGTGATGGGCATTTAAGAGCTGGAAAAGAAAAGAAACAGAGAGAAGGGGGGAGCAATCAGTCAAGCCATCATATGGAGGCCCATTAAGTCAACCCCAGGAAACAGAACATTGACAACTATGCATTTTCCTATTTATGTTTGACAATCTTCAAACAAACACTGGAAACAAATAGATAAAGAATACCTCATTCAGTAGCACTGAAGGACTAAATGAGAAGCATGGAAGTCAACTAATTTGACGTTAACAGGGTAAAAATCCACCCATAACTCTCCACTAAGTACTAGTTAATGTGGGGTCTCTGGGTGTTAACTGATCTTACATAAAGTAACATGCACAGAAATGCCTTGTTCTGTTGTGTTGGGGCAAGACCAGGATTTGAGTTTTTAATACTGAATATTTTTGTTAGTTGGAATTTCTTAAGGACAAGTATTTTCAAAGGTGATTCTACTGTACCTTCAAAGAAACTGATGTACCTGTTAAAATCATGCCTGCAAAATTTATGATTAGGGACCTACTGACGTCACAGCGGAAGTGGACTGCATATGGAAGCTCCTTTAATCTTGTAGGTTCCCCCATTTGCCTCCCCCACTGATTGGCGGAGAGGCCCCACTGTTCACTCCTGATCAGCAGGTAAGTGAAAATTGTGGTTTTAAATATAGCACTATTTTTACCTCCCGGACAGTCAGCATCAAGCAGAAGGACTGTCATGGCCCCTCAGCCAATCAGCAACCAGGCCCTGTGTGCAGGGGAACCTGCAAAATTAAAGAAGCTGCCATGCAGCTCACTTCCACTGGGAATTTGGTTGGTCCCTATATATGATCTATAAATGCAGGCATTTGTGCATGCTATTAGATGGTGTTTCAGGTACACTTAGTGCACATATACTTCTCATAGGTTCATCCATGGGCTCTTCAATTGAAAATTTCTCCAGCAAAATTTCTTGAACAAAGCCTGTGAAATTTTTTTTTTACTGTTATTAGAGATTCAAGCCAGATTCAAAGTTCCTCATTAGACGGGGTACTTAAGTGCACTTTAGCCACCTGGGTCCCAAAGAATGATTTCCCTTAGCCTTAGTGAGGAGCACTCATATTCAGAACTGGCCTGGAGCAACCACTTGTTCCAAATGGCACTTACAGCTAAAAGAGAACCAGAAGTTAGGTGGCATTTCTTTCTTATCTGGCTCACATCTACTGCATTGGATTATCAGTGGTGCCAGTGCCTGCCCTTTGCAATCCTGTTTATATCTTCTGTTAGGTAATGATAGCCTAATACAAAATGCAAAAACCGTGCAAGCATCAGGAAACAGACCCCAAGATTCCCATATTCCAAGGGAGTGCCACAAGTGCTAGGGTTACGGAGGTAGTCTCCTTTATGTTTCCTCCCTGTACTGTTTATGTATTTCTCATGCATTAGAAAGGCATTGATTTAAAAGCAGAAATAAGCACACCAACACAGACCGGAACCCAGGATTCCCCTCCGAGTGGGTTATAGAGTCAGGCTCCTTCTTGTGTCTTCTTCTGATCCCATGACTCTTGCATACCTTGCTGCCCAGTGGCCCACCTTTAACAGGAAGACTGGAGAATGCCCTCACTGAACCTTTTCTACAGCTCAGTGGTTAAGAGCATTCAGCTAGTGAGTGGGAGGTGTGCATTCAAATCACCTTGGGGGAGGAAGGTGTTACCCAGCTCTCCCATTTCCTTGGTGAACACTCTACCCATAAGATTATTAGTCAAAAAGTGGGTAGTACCTATCTTTAGAAACTTCCTGTTCAACTAGCTCAGAAGTGGGATGGGTTGTAAGGAAAAAGAGACAAATAACAGATAGCTTGAAATTGTGAGAGCTCAAAAACATGCTTGTGCTTTAACATTTCCTGTTGCCTAGCTCTAAGTACCCTTTCTGAACCACCCTTTGTAGATGACCTCCAGTCTCCATTCTCTATATAGAGTCTCTATGGACCTGAATTATTCTTAGGCATCTCTGAAATTTTTTCTCTGACCATATAGGGATGAGATGCATCTAAATGGGTCATTTTGAATCTCTGCCCAGGACAGGCACTTAAACTTTAGATGAGGCGGTACCTAAGTCAAGGCGCTACTAAGATGCTTCAAATTCTGGCCACGGAGGACAAACCTCCCTAATTATCAGGAAAGATGTTAAAATAAGACCTAACAGGATTTCCAAACTAGTCAGGCTAAATGGCAATTCCTAACCCCTCCCCGTCTCCTACATACCACAGATGCCCTTGGTCTGACTTCTCCAGTCAACGCAGAAACCCTGGTCAGCACAGATGGCAGCATAGATCTGCAAACTGGAGCACTCCATCTTAGCATTGGGAATAGTGCAGGTGTCGAACACACAGGCTGCATAGTATATTTCAGGTTTGATAAACTTACGGCACTCCTCAAACAAGCTAGAATCAGAAAGATATATTAAGATTAGTTCCTGACTGGCCCATATGCAGCTCAATGTGCTTTTTTATGTCATAGAGTATATTTGTGTTCATGGAGATTTGAACAGGACTAATTGCTAAGAGATACATGGTCCATTAGAGTGCAGGCTTCTAAAACATTGACTTCAATTGTTCAACTATCCTCCCCACCAAAAATTTCATTTTTAGATTAGAGCTGGCTGGAAATTTTTCTCTTCTGGAGCCATGTTCTGAAAATGAATCAGAGGGTCTCCAGGGATGTAGAAGGGCCTGAGGAAGACTAAGAGCACAGAAGATTATGAGTATTCCAAAGAAGGCTGAGGTGCAACAAGAAGGTTGCAGAAACTAAAGGATCATAAAATGTGAACAAGAGATGAGGAAAAAGAATAACAAAAATTAAAAAAAGCTTGCTAGAGATGAGGAAACATCGTGGAGTGCTTGGAATTCAGAAATGCTGTTACATTTTAAAGGATAAATGTCTGTGCATGCCCATGACATATTTACCTTCCCTTAATAAGGAGCTCGCAAAGTGAAGATGCTTTGCAGGCTGTTGTGGTTGAGGGCGTAACCGTAGGTGGTTTTGTAGATGGTATGACTGAATGGCACTCTGGCTTGTTAGTGTCATTAACTTGCCACCTATCTGCCATCCTTTCACAATCTGATTCTCCATTGGGTAGCCTGCAGTCATCTGTTGGGTCGTTGTTGCAAATCCCTACAAACAGGAAGGGAATGAAGTAATAGTTGCACACAAATATCCAGCATAAAATGGTCCTTTATTTATTTCCAACAATCAGAGGATCATATATTGACTTTCTTACTGTTAGGGCATTCATTTAGCTTTTTATATTTAATTCTAAAAGGAGAAAAAATGCATCCTTACCACACTGTCCTTGGGTATTGTTGACAAACTGGCCGTATGGCATTCTAATAGAAAAGGCCAAGCCATTGTAGGTTATATTAATCTTAAGTTCAGGAATTTCCACCACCTGATTTATGCCTGATCCAAAGATTTTCAATCCAAATTTTCGGTAAGGTGTAGCTACCTCTTGTTGGTTTACAAGTACCTAATGTGCAAAGGAAAACAGAGAAGAGGCATACATTTTGTTTAACGTTTGTAAAAAGAATATATTTATCATTAAGGTGCATTGGAAATATAACATAAAGGTAAATAATATTTGGGTTAGGGCTCCCAGCTTCCTTGTTGTCTACATCTATGGGTTGTATGTTTCTATAGGCATGGCAACCAAACAAGTCACTAGGCATGTCTACACATGCATTTTAATGTGCATTAGCTTATTTTGATGCGCATTAAAACGTCACTTAAAAACATGCTATTTAGTTAATGTGCATTAAGACAGAATAATGCACATTAAACATCACTTAAAAACTAGGTGCCTGAACATGAATGCAGAGGCTGCTCCGATGCACTGTAATTACAGCACATTGGAACAATTGAGTCTGTTGGAGGGTAATAATTACTGAGCTCCAGCAGCCTCCTGCATCTGGTGTATCAGTGTCCCCATACTTAAAAGTAGTGGCATGAGTGCTTGAACTAAAGCTTGTTGAACATGCTTTAGTTCAAAAGCCCCCACTGCCATTTTTAAGTTCAGGGATGCTGATACATGAGATACTGTAACACTTTAATTAGATCAGCTCTTGGAGTCACTCTAATGAAAGTGTTGCCCCCCTCCACCTCATAGCACATGTAAAAGTGCTTCATGCTCTTTAGTTAATACACATTAAAACAGGATAATGCAGATTTTCCTAGTACCTCACAAGGTATTAGAAAATGCATGTGTAAAGCGTGCCCCCTGTGAAGTAAATATGATGAAGGATTCACAGTACATCTGTTATTCCACAGTAGCTTCCCATGTTCATGCTCTTATGCTGAAGATGAAACATGGCAGCTTATGTCACAGTGAAAGAAAGAAAAACTTCCATGAGGTAAAAATGTACATGCAGCAGGTTAACATGGAGTAGAAAGCATGCTTAAATCCCCATAGCCCCATAAAATATAAGAGGAAATGCATAATAAATTTCCTTTGCAACAAGCTGAAATTCTCTTTCCTTCTTCAAAATGTTCCAAACACAGGTGATAACGGTAATATATTTGATCTATGCTCATTTGCTCATTATAAAATGAAAATGGAATAGAGGGAGAAAGCAAATGCATCAGTGACTTGTACAGAACACGGTGATGTCTTATGTATCTACCTCTTATACTCTATGAGGCTAGACTACTTTGCCTCTTTAGAAAAGGAAAAGCATCCATGCCACAGCTCTGTCTTGAAACATCATACTGAACATTGAAATACATTTGATAATGACCTCACACTTGAAAAAATGAACTATACCAAACCATTGACCTACTAAGGAAACTTTTAGAAACATTTTGGCCCCAGAGTTTGATTTTTCATCTCTAAATTGAGATGTGTGTGTCCTCTTGTGCAAATTCCCAAATGATTCAATGGCCTTCTGTCTTTCCTCAGTTCTGCTTTACAAAGGACTAAGGGACTACTCTTGCTTATTAGAACTCCTTTCATATGCTATAACATGTCTTTCTTTAGGATATTACCCAACTTCAGAAGCTTCAAATTCATAAAACTATATCCCATTCTATGCGCTCAACTTAAATGGATACTTTCAATAACCCATATTTTGGAGAGATGGGGGATTGTAAAAATCTAACTATAGAAAGGGCAGAGATGTTATAATATTTAAATACACAGATGAAGTAGCTTTCCTATCAAAAGGAATCTATTTTTCCTATTGAAGACTGCATTATGTGCAGCGCATGGGACAATTGTTCCATGTGTGTAAGCATTACTACCAAAGTAATGAGCATATTGAGAAATTAATCTAATTAAGTTAGGGTACATCCAATGGACATCAGAATTACAAATCACTCTTCAAATACCTCTACTTTGATAGGACTCATTTGGACTGTTGCTATGCGCACTTCCTGGGTCTCATGTTTCACAATGAGTGTGCGTGGACAGGAGACTGTATCTCGTGCATCACAGTGGTAATTGTCAATGTAGATCCCAAAATTGTCAACTGTCTTCTTAATCTCTTCAACCAGGATATATGTGCAATTCCCTTGATAGCTATAGGATACTCCATCAAATGTCTTGTAATGTGGATCTCCCCAACCAGTGCAATAGCCTACCAAGAGAAGTTGAGTTAATTGAACTTTGCATGGAAAAAAAGCAGAATTTGAATCAGATTATGAACAAGGTTTGTAGTAACTGGACGGACAATTTATCCTACGATTACTGGTGTTAAATAAGAATAAGAGAACCTGGGATTTTTTTTTTAAAAGCTAAGCTAAACAAATCAACTTAAAACTTGATTTAAACCGAAACTGGAACTTCTTTAAAATCTGAAGAAGCTGAACACTTTTTGCCTGGTTGTTCTTATTCTCTGTTTCCTGTGCTTCCTGATTTCAGATATGATGTGAAATAAAAACAAAACATTCTCTCAGAAAAACTGTTTTTGCAATATTTCCACCCAACTCTGAAACAGGAAGTATCATTAATTTCACAAAAAGGCCCGTTAAAACCCCAGCCCAATTTCTGAACCAAAAGTTAAGTATCACTTCAAGCAGCTGGATCAAGATACATACTGAAAAGTTTGAGCCTATCTTAAATATAATCAGCTGAGGCCTCATAATAATACCATTCATCTAGGTGTGTAGTTCCTTCAAGCCTAGCTTTTGGCTAGGCTACTTTGATGCTGAGGTATAATAATTATATGCCTTGCTGGAGATATAAAGGGTAAAACTTGCGTAACATGCCTCTGCTACAAATACTGTAGCTCCTGTAAATAGTTTTGGTTCCTCAAAACATAAAAAAATAGCTAACCAATTCTTTACTTACAGTCACATTCCCAGTGCCAACAGCATCCATCTTCATCCATCACCTGCACAGGAGCAAGACCATTGCTACATTTGGGCTTCACAGGTGGGACACAGGGTACTGGAATCGTCTGTAAGGTGTTATTGTCAATGCAGATTACCATTGTGCAGTTACACAGCCACCCAATTTTACCTACCTACATTTAAGGAAAAAAAGAAAAAAAAAGAGGAGACATAATAAAGCAATTAGTTTGATAAAGAAAGGAATGAATTTACAAAGTTATAAAACTAGAAACATTACACTTGCTGACATATTTATTCCAAACAAGTAATCTGAAAGTGGGAATAAAATACAGCATTCAGCACCATCATTTAAAATAGCCGATATGGGCTATGGCTAGGGTACAGACTACTAGTGTTTTTCTGAAGCAGTATTAATCATCCAAATACTGAATGGATCTCTTTGCATTTCCTGCGTCAAACAAAACAAGCAAGAAGTAAATATCCCCAAGCTAACTTTTAAGCCAGCTATCTTACATACTGTGTGGATACCTTTAAAAGTATTATGTATTAGCTTAGTATGGGAGGCAACTGCACAGTGCTGGCTTAGAATCCTATTGGAGTAAACAAGCTTTATCATTCTATATGAGCTGAACCCCTTGGTCTTTTGAGAGCAACACATGGTACCAGGAGTGGGGTAAAAAGAAATATAGAAAAATGGAGCATCTCAGAATTCCAAATGAGTTAACGCTGTCTAGCAATGCAGCAGTGAACTGGAACAAGTTTAAGCAAAGCTTCACAATATATATGATGGCCAGTGGAGCTACAGAGAAGAATGATCTGCTCAAGGTAGCTATTTTTTTTAAATATAGCAGGCTCATAAGCTCTACAATATCCTACAACTATCAGAACAGAACAGAAAAGCTATGGCACAGTAATAGAACAGTTTGAGGAATACTGTATACCTAAACAAAATCTTTGGGTAGTATAATTTCCACCTAAAACAGCATAAAGAATGTAAGACAAAAGAGGAGTCTGTCAAAGACCTCAGACTGCTGAGCCAGACATGCAGCTTTGGAGAACTAAGAATCCGTGATCAAAGACCAAATAGTATTGGGTGTAAGGAATACAACCCTCAGGAAAAGACTGCTAAAGGATCCTGAGCTTAATTGGAAAAGGCACTTAGAATGTGTCAAGCAGCAGAGATAACATATGCCAGGCTGCACAAGCTGAAGGAAAAAACAGAACAAGCTCAACTAGACAGGATTATCAGACTGCAAAGACCTGAGGCAACACACAAACAGTATAGAAAGGAAGAGCTCAATATGAAGCAGGCAAGCAGAGGCAAAAGAAAATTGCTTGAAGAAACAGTGGTCAGCTGCAAATACTGTGGGGGTTACCACAAACCCATGCAACTCCCTGCATTTGGTCAGCATTGCAACAAATGCAAAAGATTCAATCACTGTGCAAGAGTTTGCAGAAAGGAGCAGGATGCATCACACCAGAAACAGTAGGTGCATGCTCTGTGCAATGAGGAAGAGAAAGAATTCCTCATTGGCACAATGCAAGAAGTTGTTCATTCTTTTGAGGATTGGACAATCACTCTGGACACCAGTGAACTAATGGTAACTTTGAAATTACATACAAGGGCACAGCTCAATGTGATACCAGAATACATTATTCAAAAAATGAAAACTAAACCTGTGTACTATGAGAGTAAGAAAGTGAAACTTTGAGCATATAATGGGAACATGATTGCAACCAAAGATGTTTGTGCACTCCATATTAAACACAAGGGTAGCATTGTAAACATTCAATTTGTAACAGTCTCAGGAATGCTAGTGCCAATTATAGGGTTGCAAGTGTGTAAAATTCTAGGTCTAATTAAGAGAATGGATGCCATTGAGGGACTAGAAAGCAAAAATATAGGAGAAGAGTTTTATGATGTGTTGCAAGGCATGGATCCTTGAGATTATGTCTGGATACTAAGTAAATGAACAGGTACATCAAAAAGGAGCATTTTCCCACCAGGGAAGAAGTTTTTGGCAGTATGGTAGAAGCTACATATTTTTCCACTTTGGATGCCTCTTCTGGGTTTTGGCAAGTTCTCCTAGAAAAGAATAGCACTAGATTGTGTACCTTCAATATGTCCTTTGGAAGGAATTGCTTTCATAGGCTTCCTTTTGGACTGTGTTCTGCATGTGAAATATTTCACAGAAAGTTGCAACAAACTGCTGAAGGTCCTGATGGAACTATGGTTTATACTGCTGATGTATTCATTTGGGAAAATACTATGGCAGAACATGACTTAAGGCTAAGAAAGGAACCAGAAATAGCTCGCAGAGCAGGTTTGAAACTGAACAAACAAAAATGCAAATTCAGGGTCAAAGAAATAACACATCTGGGAGAAAAGCTGTCGAGAATGGGGTGTAAATTGATCCTGCAATGGTTAAAGCCATTACAAACATGCCACCCCCTACAGATAAGGAAGGAGTGCAAAGATTACTGTAAATGAGCAATTTTGTAGGGAAATATCGACCTATCTTAGCAGAGCAAACCAAACACCTTAGACCACTCGTACAAAACAATGCTCAGTGGATATGGGAACATGAACATGAAGTGGAATTTAAAAACTTGAAGGAAAATATAATGACAGCTCTGGTATTAAAATACTATAACCCTTAAAGACCTGTTAAATTGTCAACAGATGCTTCTAAAGAAGGCATTGGAGGAGCTTTGCTTCAAAAACATGGGGAGAAAATGAGTTATCAGACATGCCACCCGGATTACAGAGACTTTTCTTTCAACTGCAAATGAATGATCTAGACATACAGTACACACCAGGAAAACATCTATTTATTGCAGATATGTTGTCCAGAGCATATAACCCAATAGAAAATGACCAAATTCCAGACTCAGACATAGTACATGTTAATGTAATGAAAAGGGTGATTCCTGTCACAAATAAAATGTGGGCACTAAATTGCAGAAGCTACTGCTCAAGACACTTCATTGCAAAAATTGATAACCACTATTGGTGCTGGTTGGCTTGGAAAACATATACCTAGCCCCTACTCTCAGTTCAAAGAAGAGCTGTCAGTACTGGTTGGCATTTTGTTCAGAAGCTCACAACTTCTTGTTCCAGCAGTGCTAAAGAAAGACATGTTAAATAGAATCCATGAGGGGCATCTCGACATTGAAAAATGCAAGAAGAGAGCAAGGGGTGCTGTATATTGGCCCAATATAAATAATGGCATAGAAGATACTGTAAAAGCTTGTAAAATGTGCCTAAAGTACGTACCTGGACAAAGAAAAGAGCCTATAATGGTCATGGAGGAGCCTATAGCTCCATGGTATCAAGTGGACATCGATTTATTTATGCATGCAGGAAAAAATTATGTATTAGTGCTGGATTATTATTCTCACTATCCTGAAACTGGATTGCTCAAAAGAACAACAGAGCAACCCTTGTCATAACCCACATCAAATCAATTTTTGCTAGTTGTGAGAGCAAACAATGGACTTCAGTTCAACTGTCTTGATTTCAAAGAGTTTGCAAACAAATTTAGATTCCATCACTTCATGTCCTAAATACCCACAATCCAATGGTCTGGTGGAAAATGGAGTACAAATAGTAAATAAACTGTTTAAAAAAGCTATGGATTCACATACTGATGTTTACCTGTTACTCTTAAATTATATGAAACATGGATTGTCTCCTGCAGAAATGCTATTTAACAGAAAACTCAAAACCAGGCTGCCAAATCTTGTGGATCGTGCTCATCAGAATGAAAAGCAAAACATGGAAACATTTAAAAAATTCGACACTCAAACAAAAATGGTACTATGACAGGGGTTCCAGGGAGTTACCACATCTGAACAACAAAGCAATAGTTTCCCATCAAGTAGCTCCCAGATACTATAAAGTAGTCAAACCAGAAGGAACAGGTGACACTTTCAGCTTGTAAAGGGGAGAAAAGAAGCAGCATCATGAGATTCACCAAAGGAAACAGAGCCAACAACAAAGCAAGAAGAAATGACAGAGGAGATTGAAAACGACGCAGAAGTAGAGACATCTGAACAGGGAAACCAAACAAGAACTGAACCAATAAGGATTGAGAATGCAGAGAAACTTTGAAGACCACCTAGAGCTAAAAAGCCAACACAAAAACTAATAGAGACCTGTTAAAATGTGCTTTAACAAATGGGTTGAACTAAACTTCCAATGTTAGTATTACATGGATGGAATATGTTACATGTAAAGGGGGAAGAGGTGTGGATACCTTTAATAGTGTCATGTATAAGTGTTACATTGGCCAGGGAATGGGTGGGAGGCAACTGCAGAGTGGCTGACTAAGAGTGCTCTTTGAATAAACAAGCTTTATCATTCTACAAGCTGAACTCCTTGGGCTTTTGAGAACAACAAGGGTACCAATAGCAGTGAAACCAGGACACTCCAGGATTCCATGGAAGCTATACAAGCCCACCAAGAAACAGATACATACTGCACATCAGTGTGACTTTGTTGCTATGAGTAACCACACTTGGTAGATTAAAGTTAATTCAGATGTGTCTATATGTGCTGCAGACACACCTCTCTGACTGTAGTGCAAACATAGCCTAAGCGTCTGGTGTGGTGATTCCAACCTAGTGAAACTTTGTAGGTATGTGCACCTTTTCAGAAAACATCCTGAGACTCCTAAGAATCAGGATATGAATAGAAGTAATTATACTGCTTGAGGTGGGTTTACTTGCTCGTGCACTATGCATTATTACAACCATTGCTCTTGTTTTGCCTGTGTGCTCCTATTCTGCATGAAGTAGCTAAACTGTGATTTACCCCTGAATGACACTGGATGGGAAATTACTGTGGTTTAGCATCCAGTTGTCATGGGTAGACAGACAAGAGCAGAGTAGACAGACAAGGAAATTGCTGTGGATTCAGATAAACTATATTAAGTTCCCTCCATCTTGTAATATGACATAATTGTTTCATCTCTCCACAGCTTCAGCTGGAATAGAACTCTCTTGTTCTGCATGGCCTCAGAGAGATCAAGTGGTTTGCACATCACAGAAGTGCTATGCAGCAACTTGATGAAGGGCAGGGTAGAGTATAACAACAAAAAGCAAATGAGAGAGCCATGTCATCCTGAGTCAAGCAGAAGGGAGGGTGGATTTGTACCCTGTAGACCATGGCTGTCCAACTGTCAGCCTGTGGGCCACATGGCCTGCAAAGAGTTAGTAACCTCTGGGCTCCTTGTTGGCCACTATTCCTCCCCATCATGCTGGACTCTCCAGGTTCTTCCTTCCTTCCCACCTCCAGCTATGCTTCCTGTCTTTGCCTCAGCAATCAGGGCAGTGAAGCAGTGTGGGCAGCTGAGGGTGAGTCTAGGGCTGTGAAGGTCAGGTGTGGGAGAGTGAGAATCAGAAACATGTAGTGGGGTGGGGATCACACCTATGTGATGCAGCAGAGGCCAAGGACTGTGCTTGCATGATGGAGAAGTGATAATGTACCCCACAAGCTCACAGCATACCATTGGATGCAGGGAGAAGAGCCCATAGTGTGGACTTGGTGTAGCCTGCTCAGTGTGTGGCCTGCAGTAGTGTGGCCCCTGGTCCTGTGGTCAATGGGGGCTTAGAACTTGAACAGCCTGGTTATAGATTAATTAAAACAGAGATGCATAAACTTTCATAAGCAGCAGTTTACTTTTTCAGATGCTGTAAAGGGGCTTCAGGGAGCAGAGCTTGTAAATATAAAGCACTGATTATAATAACAAGGATAGAGAAGGAAGAGGAAAAAGGAGGGGGCATTGCTGGGACAGGCAAGATGGACAGGAGAGAGAGAAAAGAATGGGCACCCATTGAGGGGTATAGAGGTTATAAAAACTACAGAAAGCTAATGGGTTAAGAATCTGAAGTCTTGGTTTAGACCAGTGGTGCCCAACATTTTTGGCCCACAGGCCAGATGGTTGATGACTAGTCTATCCACAAGCCAGAGCTGGCCAGAGAGCCTGATCCAGCATGTAGGGCAGGCAGGACCTGGGCCCACTCCAGCCATGCAGGGGAGAGGCCTATCCCTAGTTCAGCCACATGAGGGGAGGGGTTGATAATGTGTCCCAGGCCAGATCCAGCTACATGGGGAGAGAAGTGTCAATCTGCAAATATTCAAGGAGGTTAAACTGGGCAAAAAATGGCTTCCCAATCTAAATTAGTTCATCTGAGCAGGTGAACTAAATTTGACTGAGAACAGGTTAACCCAATCTACCAAACATCTGCACATGTTCAGAGAGCAGCCTCAGGGCTGGGAAAGCCCAGCCACTCACCCCAGCCCTAGGCCTGTGCTTTTCCTACCACCCCTCCAACCCTGATGTTGCCTGCAGCAATGGCCCAGCTATGCAGCAACAGCCTGACCAAGCACCAGGGGGCCAGGGACCATTTTGCTTCTGATCCGCCACTTGGAGTTTGGTAATTTGGCAGCAGCAGAGGGATGACAGTATTAATTGCCACCGGTCCCCACCACCAAGTTTCCCAACCTGTGGGGAGCCCTGCAGGTCAGGTGCCATAGCTGCATGGACCATATTTGGCCTGCAGTTTATACCACACTTAAAACAATTCAAAAAAGGAAGAGAGACAGTTATTGTCAACATGCATACTTGATTGTTCAAGAAATGAAGGCAAGGTAAAAATATACCTACCTTGCCTACTGCTTGACTTCAGGCTAATGTGGCTAAATGCCTGTCTCTATTTAAGGAATTATTATTTTGTTGTTTTTTTCTAGTTGACATTAGAAATAGAAAGATACTGGATTAAAGTAACTTTTCTCCAGTCTAAGACAAAGGAGACAATCTAGCACAGTTGGAATCACAGTAAGCCACAAAAACAAATATAGTTCAGTGTCCTGAGATGTTTGCATTCACAAACCATGACAATATGCCCTACCCAATACCCATAGATTTCATAGATTTCATAGACATTAGGGCTGGAAGGGACCTCAGATGATCATCGAGTCCAGCCCCCCACCCGAAGGGCAGGAAGTCAGATGGAGTCATAGGATCCCAGCTAGATAAGCATCCAATTTTCTCTTGAAGGTCTTCAGTGTACATGCTTGAACCACCTCCGATGGCAGGCTATTCCAGACCTTGGGGGCTCGGACAGTAAAGAAGTTCTTCCTTACATCTAGCCTGAAACAGTCTTGTAGCAGTTTATAACCGTTCAACCTCGTCATCCCTTGGGGCGCTTGGGTGAACAAATGTTCCCTCAGATACTGGTGGTCACCTCTGATAAACTTATAGGTGGCCATCAGACCACCCCTGAGCCTGCGCTTTTCCAGGTTAAAGAGCCCTGTAGATCTCATCCTGTCATCGTAAGGTCTGTTTTCTTGACCTCTGATCATGCACGTGGCTCTTCGCTGGACTCTCTCAAGCTTCTCCACATCCTTTTTGAATTGTGGGGTCCAAAACTGGATTCAGTACTCCAGCTGCGGCCTCACCAAGGCCGAGTACAAGGGAAGAATGACGCCCCGGGATTTGCTTGAGAAGCATCTATGGATGCAAGTCAGTGTTTTGGTTGCTTCAGTAGCCACAGCATCACATTGAAGGCTCATGTTCATCTATTGGTCAATGCTGACCCCCAAGTCTCTTCTGTAGTGCTAGCCAGCATAGCACTGCCAAGCCTATAAGGATGCTGTAGGTTTTTCCTCCCAAAGTGGAGAACCTTGCATTTTTCAGTGTTAAACACCATCAGGTTCTTGTTCACCCATTTGCTGAGCCTGTCCAGGTCAGCCTGGATCGCCCTCCTGTCTTCAGGTGTGGATGCTTTGCCCCAAAGTTTGGTGTGATCGGCGAACTTGGCCAGGCCACTTCTGACTCCAATGTCCACATCATTAATGAAGATGTTGAACAATATGGGTCCAAGGACAGAGCCTTGGGGAACCCCACTGGTCACAGGGCACCATGATGATTGACTTCCATCAATTACCACCCTCTGGATCCGACCACGGAGCCAATTTCCCAGCCAGCGGATCATGGTGGACCCAAGGCCACAATTGGCCAGTTTCACCAAGAGGTGATCATGGGATACCAGATCAAAGGCTTTTTTGAAGTCAAGATATATGATATCAATCTCTTCTCCCTTGTCCAGGTGATAGGGCACATGTTCATAAGAGGAAATGAGATTGGTCAAGCAAGGCCTACCCACAACCCATCATGAACATGTGGGAAGATATTTTTAACTGTTAAGAAGGCAGCCATGAGGTAATGATCAAAAAGGTATTGAAACAATTTCAGTGAAGAGCTGAGATATTGAATGTATTGGGAGTCTTATGTTTTCTGATGGCATATCCAGGTTATGGCTCGTTGTATTTAACCACAAACATAGTTCATACCTAATTTGAGATGGTAGGTGTTATAACAATTGGAAATAAGCATACTGCCACTGGCAAAAACTAGAAAGATAAAGAGGAAGCAATGGAAGGTGCAACTTACTGAAATTTGGATATCCAGAATAAGAGCACCATATTAAAAATGAATTAGAATATCAGATGTTAACATCCCCTAATCTGAAAATTGTCTAGCAAAACATTTTTTATTTTATAATTATATAACAAAAATGTAAAATGTACTAACCTCAATGGGCGGATGATTTGGAATAATACATGTTTTTTGTGGTGAGGATGGTGGAGGTGTTGTGGTGGGTGTTCTAATAGTTATGATTTTGGTTGTACTTTCTAGTGTTGTAACAGTAGTCCCTCGAGTTGAAGTTGTTGCTGAAGTAGTGACTGTGGTGGTTGACTTTGGAGTAATTGTTGATGAAGTGATGGTGGGAGTTGTTGGAGGCATACTTGAAGTAATGGTGGGAGTTGGTGTTGGAGGAGTGGTTGCTGAAGTGGTGGTGGTCGACTCTGAGGTAGTCGTGGCTGAAGTGGTGGTGGTGGAGGTTGGTGGAGGCGTACTTGCAGTAATGGTGGTAGTTGATGTTGGAGGAGTTGTTGCTGAAGTGGTGGTGGTCGACTCTGAGGTAGTCGTGGCTGAAGTGGTGGTGGTGGAGGTTGGTGGAGGCGTACTTGGAGTAATGGTGGTAGTTGATGTTGGAGGAGTTGCTGAAGGTGTAGAAGAGCCACTTGTTGTAGATGTAGATGTTGTTGTAGTGAATGAAGTATCTTTAAAATGAAAAGGAAATCTAGTTTTTAGAAATTACAAAAGAACTGAAATGCAACAAATTACATTTTAAGAGTCTTCACGTACTTTTTATCTGCTTTTAGTTTTTTACGTATTAGTAGGGGATTTTCCAACAAAAGTCAACATTTTAACCCAAGCCTTCATTTTTTCTATTTTATTATGGAGACTATAAAAGAAATAAACAGATCTGATGAGCTTAAGAACCTTTTTTAAGAGCAGACAGTTTTGAAAACACCCTGCAAATCTGAAAATCTGTTCAATCTACTTTTTCAGTGCACCATCATCTTACCCTTAAGAATGTGTCACTAGAAAGCAGTGAAAAGGAAGAGGAGCCCAATGTTTTGTGTTAACTGATTTTCAGGGACTGAAATCAGGGCTAGTTGAACCATACTTAGGCATCTCAGCCCACTTATCCCTAATACTTGGAATATAACCTGGCCCTATGTATGCCAATATATACCTACCCTCCTCTGTTGTCTCTGAAGTGCAAGGGGTTGTACTTGATGTGGTCAAATTTGTAGTAGTAATAGTAGACACTGCAAGACAAAAATGGAACCTGCTTTTCAGAAACCATGAAGGAACTGATGACAATGTTTGAAGAGAAGCTACAACCTTTGTCACCTAAAGCTTAGACTGAAAAGAAAAACAAATTCAATAAAAGAACATTGTCCCTAAATGCACAAAGGCCAGTGATTTGTTTCTCACTTAGTACTTTTTTGGCTTTGGCCCTCTTACTCTTGGTATGTAATCACAGGAGCAGACTTTCAGCACAACCGATTTCAGGATAAGAGTTTTGTTAATAGCTAGTTTACAAGGATATTTGCTTACTTCAATTTCAAGTCTAGTGTCTGAAGAATTTATGCTCATCTAATTATGCCAAAGCAAACACTGAAAGCAGAATTCTATTTCATCAAGTGAACGACTAAAGTGCAGCCTGAGACTAACTCTGAGTGATCCAATTGAAGTGTCAAAATGATCCTATTACCCCTTTGAGCCTTATGTGCACCTGTTATAGGAACTGAGAGATGTTGGTGTGTTTCTAGATCTTATTTCTGTAATGGGGCCACTTATACACTGATAGGGTCTACATTCCACTTTTGCAGTAGAAGCATTCAGCCTTTGACAACAGCTACCAAACAGTTATCCCTGCATCAATTAAGTACAATTAAAAGGTAGGAGTAAAGCCAGGAAAAAAGGGACTGCATCTATTAAGGCATATCAACCTTTACTACCTTTACTCAAATCTAATATGACATTTCTTTCCCCTGCTGCAGTAAACATGGGGGGTGAGGGGCAATGGATTGCATGAAAACCAGGGGAAAAGCTGAGGCCACTGTTGACTAGGGCCAGAGTCACCATGGGTTCCATGCTCAGGGATGGAGCTAGAGATGAAGCTGCAGCTGGCACTTCATTGTAGGTAAGTGGCACAGGAGGGGGTGGTGGTTGGGCAGGTGGCAGGGAGAATAGGTGACAGGTGGGCAAGTGGCAAAGTGGGGACAGGTAACAGGGTAGGCCCCATGGGGAAGAGTTGTGAGGGGACAGTTAGCAGGTGGGGCAAGCGGCAGGTAAGCAGGCAGGAGGGAAAACTGTGCAAGTGAACTGGTAGGAAGGCACTGGGAAGGGGTAAGAGGCATGGGAAAGGCTTTATGCCCACTGTCTGCTTTCCCCACTGCTTGCTTGGCCTCATCACAGCAGCAGGAGGGGACAAATGTAAGGCACCCCCTCCAATAATTACATTTATAATTTTCCATGTATATAATCTAATAACTGGGATGTCATCTTAAATTCAAAGTTGTCTTGAATTTGGTAATAGTGAGATAAATATCCTACAAATTCAGAGGCAGTAATGAAAGCTTCTACGCAAACTTTAAAGAGGGGCAGACAAAAAATCCTGAAGCACAGCTGGTCACTCTTGGACAGAAATGGTGATTATATATTTATATTGAGCATGTAACCCATGATGAGCTGGATATTAGCTACTGAAAGAGCCTTAAGCCTTCAAACCATATTTAAACTTGTAGAACAGCAGGGAAGAAGGGCTTGTGTGTAAGAGAAGAATGTTGCAAAATCAAGTTGGACCCCCCAAAAAAATGCAAAATCAAGTTGGACCACCAAACTTTATCATGGAGGTTCTAATTCAATGCTTTTCCAACTGTGTCCCCCAAAGAATTGCTACAATTATAAAGAAAGAGGCAGAACTGAATCGGTTCCCTGAAAAAAAGTATATATAGAGGAAATGTCATGAATGGCAATGAAGACAGGACAGGGAAACTGAGAAGTGAACTCAGCTAATAAGTACATTAACCATGTTAGTGTCCAAACACATGTATATGTTCAATTGTTTTCGGTCATTATACCCTCTCTGACAAAAGGTCATTGTTCAGTTACAGCAGACTCAATTTATGCAAAAAAGTCCTGTCTGCAAACAAAAATATTAATAAAGCCAAAAAGCACCACAAGGAAGAAAAAGAACAGTCAACTAGTGTCGAGCTGGCCAATGGTGTTCTGCGGGATGTCAACAAAATAAACAGAGATACAGATGACAAAGTAGCAATGTAGGCACTTTTGGGAGTGATGTATTAGAGCAGTGAGTGGTGCCCAAACTTTCCAGGCTATGAATCAGATGAGTGATGTGGTGTTGCTCTGCAGACTGGATCTGGAGCATGAGATTGGTCCATGGGCCTGATCTAGTGTGGGGTCAGCGTATGGGTTCCAGTTCATGACCCACCACTCCAGCCCTGCATATGCCAGATCCCACCTGCTGCCTTGACTCAGTGTGCGCGCCACATTGTCTCCTCTGCCCTGACCCACATGCTGGCCTACTCATTTGGCCTGTGGAATTTGGAAACTTGGCAGCAGGGAAGTGATGGCAGCACTAATAGCTACAGCTTCTCTGCTGCCTGATTTCTAGAGCTGTGGGAGTCTTGTGGGCCACGTGATACAGCTCAAGGAGCTGGATCTCATCCCCAGGCCATAGCTTGAGCACCACTGAACTAGAGGAACACTGGGGCAGAACACATCACTAATTTAACTTGCACCTCAGAATTAGATTGCACCTGAGAATCTAAGTATGATCTCACCCCCACTGCTTGAAATCATAACTTGATTCTGTGCAAGTTCCTGTGCTACGCAAGGGTAAGAAGAGGGCTGAATTATAAGCAGGCCCTGAGTATGCTAACTTCCTATGTCTTGTGGACTGAGACGAACATGACATTAATACAGTTATAAGGTGCAAAATGTCAGGAGGAGCAAAATTAAGTGGGACAGCCCAAAATCACCTGACATCATCCTTTGGTGGGGTTTTCTAACCCTTTCACTCTCAAAACTGCTATAGTCACAAAATATTATCAAGTTCTACATAAGGACTCTAAACAAAGGAGCCGTAAAACACAAAGAGAGCTACTGTGAATCATGAAGCACATGGACACATGAGGCACAATGAAGAACTCTAGTGCACATTAGGCCTATGCCAAGCAGCTAGTATTCACTTCGGATTCGGCTGATTTGGGGGAAAGTGATTTTATTTTGGATTCGAATAACTGTCCTAAATCAATTCAGCCAGATCTGATTCGGAGATTCAGCCAAGGACAAATCAGATGAATCTCTCAATTGGCCCTGTTCTATGCCCACTGTCCCAGCCACATCAATGGCTGCTCCGCCTGGCCCCAACTCCCGGCTCTTTAAAAAAAAAAGAAAGCCCCAGGCTCACCAGTTCCTAACAGGTGGGGGAAGGCGATCCACTGCCCCCCACTCCCTCCCAACACCCCCTATTTCCCCCCACTGTGTGGGGGGCTCTGCCACAAGCCTCCATCCCCTGTCCGCTCCGCCAGCACCCCCACCATGGTTCCCCAAGCGGTCCCAGCTCCTGGCTCTTTAAAAGAAAAAAAAAAAGCCCCACACTCACTGGCTCCTGCTAGGTTGGGTGGGGGTTATCTCTGCTGACCCTCCACAAACCTGCACTGTGGGGGGGATCTGTCATGATCCCTCAGGAGCCCCAAGGCCACTGCAGCAGCCAGTGAGTGGGAACTTTTTTTTTTTTTTTTTTTTTACAGGCCCAGGAGCTGGGGCTGGGCAGGACAACCATGCGGTGGAGGGGAGGAGCTGGAAAAGTGGGCAGGGGTCAGCAGTATCATGGCAAAGCCCCCCACACAGTGCGGGGCAGTGGGTAGTAGTGGGGATTGCCCCTCCACCTGGCAGCAGCCAGTGAGTGGGGGCTTTTTTGTTTTAAAGAGCCAGGAGCTGGGGCCAGGCACGGCAGCCATGGGGGCTAGGAGAGCAGGCACGAGTCAGGAGGCACTCAGGGGGGCTGGGGAAGCAGGCAGGGGATTGGGCCCAGCAGGGTCCCCCCAGGGTGCCCTGCCCCCTCCTCCAGACCGCTTCCTTTCCTGTCCCCTACTTACCAGCTTGGAGTCCGGGTCTAGCTCTCGGTGGCAGCCAGCAGAGACTGCCCAAATCTCCAAAGCTCTTTGAATCTTCTCAGAATCAATTTGGAAAGCTTTGAATTGATTCAGACCTTTTTTTATTGGTTTCCTGATTTGATTTGGATTTGGAGATTCGGCCGCCAAATCAGGCCGAATCTCCTCTGAATCGAATCAGCACCCAAAAGCTTCACATAGCCCTAGTGCACATCCTTGGTCAGCTGTCACTTCAACACCCACACAATAAAAACATATGTTCCTCCAATCCTGGGTGTCCAAGCAAATAACATAAGCCCTGCAAATTTTGGTGGCAGCTTATTTTTAGGCATGGTCATGACTAGCAAAGAGAACAATTCAGGAAATATAAATTAACTTTTCAATCAAACTAAATAAATGAACATGACATTGAGAAACATAAACTTGCCTCAGGACAACAACAACAACAAAAAACTGAGGGTGGCAAGAGGTCACAAAAGGGTGTAAAAGGAACATGATGCAGCATCAAAACAAACAAGGGGAAGCATGGAATTGATTCTTAGAAAGGTATAATATTACCCACTTAATAATTAATGTCCTAGTGACTTGATTACCCACCCACAACATCCCTGTTATGGTATATGTGGTGGTTTCTCTCAAACGTTTATAATATGCTTGTCCATGCAGATGGCATTTCAATAATTAGAGCAAAGTAAACTCAGAGAGCATCCATCTCTCTATTACTTGTTCTGACTACTGTACAAACTACAGCCTGAAAGCTTGCAAATCTACCCTCTCTCATATAGCAAAGGCTTCCATCTTTGCAGAAACTATTATAGCTTCCAAAGCAGAGACAACACAGGAAAAGTAGGAAGAGAACCTAATGACCAGACTTATCAATTATTCATGTCATTTCCAAGACTTGCCTTAACCACTCTGGTGGGTTATAACTCAGTCTCACTTTGAGCAAGACATGCAAAGCAATCCTTACCCCAAATGATATGACCAGGGCAGGAGGGCATCACGTGGAGGAAAGTAGAGATGGAGTGTTACAATAAAATTGGTCTAGGGTCAAATTAAAAGACCGTAAATATGGGATTGCTAATGATCATCTAATACTACACACTTACCAAATCATGTCACAGTGGATTAGCAACCTTTGTCAGTCCTATTAGGGAATCTGTGGTGGTTTCTCTATACAATATATCTTGATGTCTACAAAATACACTTGTCTATGGTAGTGGGGTTTCAACAATTACAACAAAGTAAGGTCAGACAGCATCAGCCCATATCATACCTGGAGTAGTTGCAGAAGTGGAGACTGTTGATGTTGTTGTGACAGTACTGGATGGTGTGGGGGTCAGGGTGGCAGTGGTGGTGCCTGGTGTTGTTGGAGTGGCAGTAGTTGACTCTGGAGTAGTCGTTGCTGAAGTGGTGGTGGTGGAGGTTGGTGGACGTGTACTTGGGGTAATGGTGGTAGGTGATCTTGGAGGAGTTGTTGCTGAAGTGGTGGTGGGCGACTCTGAGGTAGTCGTGGCTGAAGTGGTGGGGGTGGAGGTTGGTGGACGTGTACTTGGGGTAATGGTGGTAGGTGATCTTGGAGGAGTTGTTGCTGAAGTGGTGGTGGGCGACTCTGAGGTAGTCGTGGCTGAAGTGGTGGGGGTGGAGGTTGGTGGACGTGTACTTGGGGTAATGGTGGTAGGTGATCTTGGAGGAGTTGTTGCTGAAGTGGTGGTGGGCGACTCTGAGGTAGTCGTGGCTGAAGTGGTGGGGGTGGAGGTTGGTGGACGTGTACTTGGGGTAATGGTGGTAGGTGATCTTGGAGGAGTTGTTGCTGAAGTGGTGGTGGGCGACTCTGAGGTAGTCGTGGCTGAAGTGGTGGTGGTGGAGGTTGGAGGAGGTGTACTTGGAGTAATGGTAGTTGATGTTGGAGGAGGTGTTGCTGAAGTGGTGGTGGAGGTTGGTGGAGGCGTACTTGGAGTAATGGTGGTAGTTGGTGTTGGAGGAGCTGTTGCTGAAGTGGTGGTGGAGGTTGGTGGAGGCGTACTTGGAGTAATGGTGGTAGTTGGTGTTGGAGGAGCTGTTGCTGAAGTGGTGGTGGAGGTTGGTGGAGGCGTACTTGGAGTAATGGTGGTAGTTGGTGTTGGAGGAGCTGTTGCTGAAGTGGTGGTGGAGGTTGGTGGAGGCGTACTTGGAGTAATGGTGGTAGTTGGTGTTGGAGGAGCTGTTGCTGAAGTGGTGGTGGAGGTTGGTGGAGGCGTACTTGGAGTAATGGTGGTAGTTGGTGTTGGAGGAGCTGTTGCTGAAGTGGTGGTGGAGGTTGGTGGAGGCGTACTTGGAGTAATGGTGGTAGTTGGTGTTGGAGGAGCTGTTGCTGAAGTGGTGGTGGAGGTTGGTGGAGGCGTACTTGGAGTAATGGTGGTAGTTGGTGTTGGAGGAGCTGTTGCTGAAGTGGTGGTGGAGGTTGGTGGAGGCGTACTTGGAGTAATGGTGGTAGTTGGTGTTGGAGGAGCTGTTGCTGAAGTGGTGGTGGAGGTTGGTGGAGGCGTACTTGGAGTAATGGTGGTAGTTGGTGTTGGAGGAGCTGTTGCTGAAGTGGTGGTGGAGGTTGGTGGAGGCGTACTTGGAGTAATGGTGGTAGTTGGTGTTGGAGGAGCTGTTGCTGAAGTGGTGGTGGAGGTTGGTGGAGGCGTACTTGGAGTAATGGTGGTAGTTGGTGTTGGAGGAGCTGTTGCTGAAGTGGTGGTGGAGGTTGGTGGAGGCGTACTTGGAGTAATGGTGGTAGTTGGTGTTGGAGGAGCTGTTGCTGAAGTGGTGGTGGAGGTTGGTGGAGGCGTACTTGGAGTAATGGTGGTAGTTGGTGTTGGAGGAGCTGTTGCTGAAGTGGTGGTGGAGGTTGGTGGAGGCGTACTTGGAGTAATGGTGGTAGTTGGTGTTGGAGGAGCTGTTGCTGAAGTGGTGGTGGAGGTTGGTGGAGGCGTACTTGGAGTAATGGTGGTAGTTGGTGTTGGAGGAGCTGTTGCTGAAGTGGTGGTGGAGGTTGGTGGAGGCGTACTTGGAGTAATGGTGGTAGTTGGTGTTGGAGGAGCTGTTGCTGAAGTGGTGGTGGAGGTTGGTGGAGGCGTACTTGGAGTAATGGTGGTAGTTGGTGTTGGAGGAGCTGTTGCTGAAGTGGTGGTGGAGGTTGGTGGAGGCGTACTTGGAGTAATGGTGGTAGTTGGTGTTGGAGGAGCTGTTGCTGAAGTGGTGGTGGGCGACTCTGAGGGAGTCGTGGCTGCAGTGGTGGTGGTGGAGGTTGGGGGAGGCGTACTTGGGGTAATGGTGGTAGTTGACCTTGGAGGAGTTGTTGCTGAAGTGGTGGGGGGCGACTCTGAGGTAGTCGTGGCTGAAGTGGTGGTGGTGGGAGATGGTGTTGGCGTACTTGGAGTGATGGTGGTAGTGGATGTGAGTGGTTGCTGAAGTGGTGGTGGTCGACTCTGAGGTAGTCGTGGCTGAAGTGGTGGTGGTGGGAGATGGTGTAGGCGTACTTGGAGTAATGGTGGTAGTGGATGTTGGAGGAGTTGTTGCTGAAGTGGTGGTGGTGGGAGTTGTTGGAGGAGTACTTGGAGTAATGGTGGTAGTTGATGTTGGAGGAGTTGTTGCTGAAGTGGTGGTGGGCGACTCTGAGGTAGTCGTGGCTGAAGTGGTGGTGGTGCAGGTTGGTGGAGGCGTACTTGGAGTAATGGTGGTAGTGGATGTTGGAGGAGTTGTTGCTGAAGTGGTGGTGGGCGACTCTGAGGTAGTCGTGGCTGAAGTGGTGGTGGTGCAGGTTGGTGGAGGCGTACTTGGAGTAATGGTGGTAGTGGATGTTGGAGGAGTTGTTGCTGAAGTGGTGGTGGGCGACTCTGAGGTAGTCGTGGCTGAAGTGGTGGTGGTGCAGGTTGGTGGAGGCGTACTTGGAGTAATGGTGGTAGTGGATGTTGGAGGAGTTGTTGCTGAAGTGGTGGTGGGCGACTCTGAGGTAGTCGTGGCTGAAGTGGTGGTGGTGCAGGTTGGTGGAGGCGTACTTGGAGTAATGGTGGTAGTGGATGTTGGAGGAGTTGTTGCTGAAGTGGTGGTGGGCGACTCTGAGGTAGTCGTGGCTGAAGTGGTGGTGGTGCAGGTTGGTGGAGGCGTACTTGGAGTAATGGTGGTAGTGGATGTTGGAGGAGTTGTTGCTGAAGTGGTGGTGGGCGACTCTGAGGTAGTCGTGGCTGAAGTGGTGGTGGTGCAGGTTGGTGGAGGCGTACTTGGAGTAATGGTGGTAGTGGATGTTGGAGGAGTTGTTGCTGAAGTGGTGGTGGGCGACTCTGAGGTAGTCGTGGCTGAAGTGGTGGTGGTGCAGGTTGGTGGAGGCGTACTTGGAGTAATGGTGGTAGTGGATGTTGGAGGAGTTGTTGCTGAAGTGGTGGTGGGCGACTCTGAGGTAGTCGTGGCTGAAGTGGTGGTGGTGCAGGTTGGTGGAGGCGTACTTGGAGTAATGGTGGTAGTGGATGTTGGAGGAGTTGTTGCTGAAGTGGTGGTGGGCGACTCTGAGGTAGTCGTGGCTGAAGTGGTGGTGGTGCAGGTTGGTGGAGGCGTACTTGGAGTAATGGTGGTAGTGGATGTTGGAGGAGTTGTTGCTGAAGTGGTGGTGGGCGACTCTGAGGTAGTCGTGGCTGAAGTGGTGGTGGTGCAGGTTGGTGGAGGCGTACTTGGAGTAATGGTGGTAGTGGATGTTGGAGGAGTTGTTGCTGAAGTGGTGGTGGGCGACTCTGAGGTAGTCGTGGCTGAAGTGGTGGTGGTGCAGGTTGGTGGAGGCGTACTTGGAGTAATGGTGGTAGTGGATGTTGGAGGAGTTGTTGCTGAAGTGGTGGTGGGCGACTCTGAGGTAGTCGTGGCTGAAGTGGTGGTGGTGGGAGTTGATGTAGGCGTACTTGGAGTAATGGTGGTAGTTGATATTGGAGGAGTTGCTGAAGGTGTGGAAGAGCCAATTGTTGTAGATGTAGATGTTGTTGTAGTGAATGAAGTATCTTTAGAATGAAAAGGAAATCTAGTTTTTAGAAATTACAACGGAAATGAAATGCAACAAATTACATTTTAAGAGTCTTGAACTTTTTTTGTGTGTGCCTTTAGTTTTTTTATGCTTTAGTCTTGGATGTTCCAACAAAAGTCAGCCTTTGAACCCGCTCCTTCATTTTTCTAGTTTATTATGGAGACTGTTAAAGAATTAAACAGATCTGATGAGCTATAGTAACTTTTTAAGAGCAGACAGTTTTGAAAACAACCTGCAAATCTGAAAATCTGTTCAATCTACTTTTTCGGTGCACCATCATCTTACCCTTAAGAATGTGTCACTAAAAAGCAGTGAAAAAGAAGAGGAACCCAATTTTTTGTGTTAACCGATTTTCATGGACTGAAATGGGGGATGGTCGAACCATACTTAGGCATTTTATCCCCCTTATCTATAACAAATGGAATGTGATTTGGCGGTATATATGCCGATATATACCTACCCTCCTCAGGTGTCTCTGTAGTGCAAGAGGTTGTACTTGGTGTGGTCAAATTAGTAGTAGTAGTAGTAGTAGTTGTAGGCACTGCAAGACAAAAATTGAACCTGCTTTTCAGAAACTACAAAGGTGTTCATGACAATGTTTGAAGAGAAGCTACAACCTTTATCACCTAAAGCTTAGAACGAAAAGAAAAATACATTCAACCAGGAACATTGTCCCTAAATGCACAAAGGCCAGTGAGTTTTTTTCTCACTTAGTACTGTTTTTTGTCTTTGACAGTTTGTATGTAATCACAGGAGCAATTTTCATCACAACCAATTTCAGGATAAGAGTTTTGTTAATAGCTGCCTTACACGGATATTTGGTTAATTCATTTTCAAGTCTAGTGTCTGAAGAATTTATGCTGGCCCAATTATGTCAAAGAAAACCCTTAAGGCGGAATTGTATTTCAGCACTTTCAAAGTTTGAAAAGCTACCCTATCTCATAAAGCAAAGGCTTTCATCTTTGCAGATGCTATTATAGCTGCCAAGGCAAAGACAAAGCAGGAAAAGTAGGAAGTGTACTTACCAACCTGACCAATAAATTATTCACTTCACTTTCAAGTAAAACCTCAACCTCTCTGATGGAAGGTCACAGTTCAGCCCCATTTTGAACAAGATTTACAAAGCAATCCTCACTTTCGTCACTCCCAAAACATATAACCAGGACAGAGGGGGTATACGTTCGGACAAAGAGTGTGTGTGGAGTGGGGGCCACAATGAAATTGGCTTAGGGTCAAAATAAACCTGGGCAAAGGAGGAACCACCACTTATGATCATCTAATACTAGCCATTTACCACATCAAGTCACAGTGGAGGAACCACCTATATCAGGATTTTAGGGGATCCCTGGTGATTTCACTCTACCATATCTCTTGATGTCTCCAGAATTACACTTGTTTTTGCTAGTGAGGTCTCAATAATCACAAGAAGATAAGCACAGACAGCATCCACCTTTCTCATACCTTGAGTAGTTGTAGAAGTGGAGGCTGTTGACATTGGTGTGTGAGTGGTGGAAGGCGTGGGTGTCACAATGGTAGTGGTGGTACTCGGTGTGGAAGTATGTGTGGTATTATGGCAGCAGGAAGGGTGGGTTCCAGAACAGCAGAGCTTCACTTGATAATTGTAGCACATAGGTGGCAACTGCCAGACCTGGTCTCTGTTGTTGCAGATAAGTCCTTTGGAGGCACTGCATTCCACTTTTTGCCCCAAAATTTCAATGGGATGATCAGGGAATTGCTCTGCTCTGCATGAAATATTCCATACCACCGGACAGAACAGGTAGGGCCTCTTGCGTATGATGTTGTCCAAGAGTTCATAGTCCCCATAGTCTTTTTTTTTTATCTCAGTGTCCTCTCCTGGCTTTCGCTTTGGGTGATCATCATCCAACCACTCGGTACAGTTGCAAGGGCAGCCTGTAGACAAAGTCAAGAGGGACAAAGATGACATAACAAGGGAAGTACTATAGATAGCTATGCACAGGCAAGTCATTGACTGAGAACAGGTCAGTTCAACTCACAAATATTTCACACTGGAACACATTTACAGTCTTTTCTCCAGTCCTTTAAATCAGCGGTTCCCTTCCTTTCGCACCTTATGTCCTACCACCCATTTTGTCAGAAAAACTTGGTCCCATCGAGATAAAAACAAAACCTCACTTTTGTACTGTTTGAGATATCTGTCGATTCATCTATTTGAAGTGCAAACAACTTTGATTTTTTCAATAGGGCAATGACTTGAAGTCCCACCTACATGACCTTCATGTCCCACTGGTGGAGAAACTCTGCTATAAAGAATCAGTGACTTCACTCAAGGCACCATGTTGAACCAAGGTGAAAATTGGGCAGGATCCGAATCAGAGCAGGGGTACCCTAACTACCTTTGTCTTGTGGACCTGAAAGAGTGCAGCTTAACATTTGTTACATGTATCGATGCACAATGTCAGGAGGAACACGAGCAGGTGGGATGGCTCAACGTTATCTTCGAGCTTCCTCTGACATTCAGCTCCAGATGCTACACAATGGCAGAAGCTTAAAAGAGTTAACAGGTGCCATATCTGTCCCTGATCAAAGTAGATCTGAAGCATTTTTCATTCTCATAAGGAGAACTTCTACTGCTTTAGAAAATAAGTGGTGCATTAAGCATGATGAGGAACAACCATGCAGAATCTACATCAACAGTTACACTCTAAGTTACATGCTGAACACATTACCAGATTCTCATTCTTTGATAGCCAAACAATTAACATGAGCCTCAGTAGTTTGGGCAAATGCTTATTTGTAGTTATAGTCATGGTTGGCAGCAAAGACAATGAGTGAAAAATGGGAAGTGAAGTTGTCCAGCTGAGAGCGACTTAATCATGACTTTGCCAAGACGCACCCTAATCTCTCTAATACAGTTTAAAATTCATTTACATCAGGAGTGATAGATATATAATATAACGTTACATCATGTAGACATATGAAGAAAGGTGAAGGTTACAACAAGAGTGTAAAATCAAAAGTTAAACCAGTGAAAGGGTAGAATTTCTACTTCTTCCTAGCTAATATTCTGTACATTTACATTACACCAGAGAACAAGATTTTGAGAAAGATTTGCAAAGCAATCCTCATCCCATTTTGAGCAAGATTTACAAAGCAATCCTTATCTTCCTCACTCCCAAAGCATATGACTTGGGCAGAGGGGGCATCAATTGTGAGAAAGAGTATGTGTGGAGTAGGGGGCACAATGAAATTGGCCTAGGGTCAAGATAAACCTGGGCAAAGGAGGAACCGCCATTTATGATCATCTAATACTACCCATTTACTAAATCATGTCACCATGGATTAACCAGCTAAATCAAGAATTGTTCCATGGTGATTTCTCTTACCATATCTCTTGATGTCTCCAGAATACACTTGTTTTTGTTAGTGGGGTTTCAATAATTGCAAGAAAATAAGCACAGGCAGCATCAGCCCATCTCATACCTGTAGTTGAAGAAATGGAGGGTGTTGGAGTTGGTGTGACAGTGGTGGAAGGTGTCGATGTCAGGCTGGTAGTGGTGGTGATTGACGTTGTTGGAGTGCTACTAGTTGTAGTTGTAAGAGGAGTTGTTGTGAAGGGTGTTGGCGTTGATGTAGTAATAGTGGTTGGTGTGGTAGTACTGCCTGGTGTTGTTATTAGAGTCGTGGTGAAAGTTGGTGTAGGTGTTGGTGTGGTAATGGTGACTGGAGTTGATGTAGTAGTTCTGGTCAGTGTAGATGTTGGTACCATTGTAGTGGTTGTGATTGTTGTAGGTGTTGATGTTGGAGTGTTTGTTTGTGTAGGCGTTAGTGTGGTAGTCGGTGTTGGTGTTTGCGTTGTAATTGAAGTTGAAACTGTTGCTGTCATAGTCGTAGGTGTTGTTGTCTTAGTGGTTGTGGTCAGTGTGCTAGTGGTGCTTGGAGTGGGTGTTGGTGTGCTTGTGGTTACAGTGGGTCTCGATGTGGTAGGTGAAGTACAGTCAGGAGCCTTTTTACAACAAAAAATCCGAATCTCGTAGTCATAGCACGGGATCCAGAGTTTGTCTTGTTCCTTATTTTTACATATGAGCCCATAAGTAACATTACATGACACTTTCTGGCCCACATCTTCTAGGCTTAAATTAAATCCGTTTTGCGGCCTGCACTGAATGTCATGTGGAACATCACAGAAACCGTCTCCATGTATATTCCTTATTGCATCATAGGTTTCATATTCACCACCATCTTCATCCCCTGTGGGTTTACTGACATCATACCACTTAGTCCAGTTGCATTCTTTATAGCATGTAGCTGCAAGGAAAATTGAAAATATGGCATCTTGAAATCACATAAGAACAGACATAAAATTCAGAGACCTAGTCTGAATGTAATCATCTTTTAGGAAATGAAAATACATATTGCAACACAAGATTTTAACTGGTTCAAGAAAACAGTAATTGAATCTATATTGTATTGGATTTTTTGCATAAGTGGCATTAGAAGCTTTTTTCAAACTAATGAAAACCTTTGCATATTCCACCCTTCTCTCTAAAATAACCCATACATTCTTTCTATTCTAAAGCTAAAATGTATGTCTGTACTGCATAGTTACCTCTTTGTCTTCCCTTTCCCTTAATTAGGAAGACCTAATATGAAGAACTTCTTTAATAAGAAACTTACTTGTAGCTGTACTTGTTGAGGTTGTTGGGGAAACTGTAATAGGAAAAAATAACCAATATTACAATATAATCTTAGGAGATGCAGGGAAATTAAAATAGTATTTAAAAATAACACAAAAATAACACAACTCCATTTAATTCATTGTTGTTCATCCTTCACAAGTAAAGATGACCACACCCAGTGGGGGATGGGAGTGGGAGGGGAGACAAGAGAAAGAAAGTGTGAAGGAAGAACGGAAGGAGAAAAGAGAAAGGGAAAAAGAGAGGAAAAAGGAGAAAGAAGTGAAAGGAGAAAGAGAGAAGGTGGGGTAGAGGCTACGTTGTATGAGTATGCAGGTGATTTATAAGCCCAGTCTTTGCCCTGAATAATCTGCTGCAGCAGGGGCAGGAGAGTGACAAGGACTGGACATGAGAGGTCATCATTTTCCTGGACACGTGCTTCCTCACTGCCTCACTACCTCTGCCGAGATCCTTTAATTCATAGTCTTCCACTGAAACACTAAGGCAACTTCACTCTGTGCAGCATTCCACTGGATTTATAATAGTTGTTTAGGTTTTCAAGTAGGACATTGAGTGCAAAAACATTTTCAGTTTAAGAGCATCTGTCACACCTATGTACAGCATTTCTTGCATGGCAAAGTAGAACAATGTCTAGTATTTCAAAGATTTCTTAGTACAGCATGATAAAGCCATACACAAGCATTGCTGTAATCATATAAAGTATGAGATGTCAAATAGCTCTGAACCTATTTAGGAAACATTTGAACCTGATATACATCCTTGCTGAAATGTTACCTGTGGTAGTAGTATAGGTTGTAGTTGTAGTAGACGTGGGTGTTGGACAAGGGTAGATACTTCCAGGAACCTTAGACCCATTCTTTCCACATACATAGTTTATACAGATTGATCCATTTCTGACTTGTTCAACTAAATCTCCTACATTATAGATTTTTCCATCAATGATGCATGGGCAGCCTGCAAGAAGGAACTTATTGTGGAGTTGTGTTCTGCTAAAAAATGATCAAGTACAATCACAAACCTAAACATTTACAAAATTGCCTAGTGTAAATATGTTTGAACATGTGATGTGTGCAGCTATAATGGTTATGCCTGAAGATGAGCCAGGAATCATCATTGATTTATACTGACATTTAGAAGGAAGCCACAACTTATGTAACAATAAAGCCCTACGTAGGTGAGGTACATAAAATGACTATCAAGAACAGATTTTTATTTACAAGTAGATAAATAAAACAGTTCCCAATGCAGTATTGGACTCAACATTAAGACATTTGAATAAGTGGAGACAGGAACATTGCCCAAAAAACCTGAAAGGAAGGGCGTCACAGACACAATCAGAAAGTAGTCTCATTTCGCTCTTTTTTTGCTTCATTCCTTAGATTCATAGGGTGTTTATAAACATGATCTGGGGGAGGGGGGTTTAATTAAAGAGAGCTGCTCTAATTTAGGCACCCAGAGTGTCTTATGTATCAATGTCCCTGCACTTCAAAATGGTGGTGGGGGTGCTTTATCTAAAGCTCATTGAATGCAAACAGTACCCTGCAATCAGTGTATTTAAAATAATTGTAAATATGCCTAAGAAATAGCTACAGTGATAGCTATAGTTCATTGAACGAGCTTTAGATAAAGTGCCCCCATTGCCGTTTTGAAGAGGGGCGGGGGAGGGGAGGTGATACACAAGATGTGGGAAGCTGCTGGAGTGCAGTAATTACCACGCTCCAGCAGACTTGATGAATTGAGTCTGCTCCAATGTACTGTAATCACAGCACATCAAAGCAGCCTCCCTGCTCATGTATAGGCACCCATTAGGACTAACTATAAGGTTAAAAAGTGCTATCTAATAATCTTTTGCCACAATCCTGACTTGATCTCCTGTGAGTCATTCTTGATCATTACAAAATCTGATATGGATTTTGTAATGATCATACAGAGGAGATGGATGTCATTTTTTTCTTACCCTTTTCTGTTTGCAGGGAAAAAAAAAATTTTTTTCTTTACCTGGGAGAGTTGTACAGTTAATATTTCCTGATGAAACACAGACGCTGAAAAGAAAAAAAAATCAGTGAAAATCATGTAGCCCAACAGCTATCACTATAGTTATTTCTTAGGAATATTTACAATTATTTTAAACATTCAAAATTTCATTTCATGTGACTGGATAGTTCTTTGGATTTGCTCTGATATCATGATTGTTATTTTTAAATATTACAACCAACTCACTTCTAATAGCTAGTCTTGCGCTAATTAGCCTCTTACCCTCACAAATTGTGTAAAAAGGGAAGAAGTTGCAGAGCTGAGGAGTAAGTACTGATAATGACTCTTTCTGTTTTTTTACCAAGCAGACTTGGCATACTGATGGTCCTTGTAGGAGGTCACCCTGGGCTGACCTTAGGGAACATGATGGGGCATAAGGAAAAACACATGCACCCTTAAATCACTTTGCTTCATTTTTCTGCACAGCATCTCTTTGTCTTGGCAAAGTAAAACTAGGAGTATGCTAATGGCGAAGCAGAGTCTGTCTAGAGAGCACTGTACTGCAGAGATTTCCAGTTAGTTCTAACTATGATAAAAGTGGTTCTAAAGCATGTTAGGCAAATGGCCCTTGGCTCTTCAAGTGTCAACAGAGACACACTATATAGACACCCCCATATTCTCAAAGTATTATTTAATGGTATTTTTGACAACATTATGAAAAGGAAACCATCAAGTTGAAATCTGGACTTGTTCAATAGCTGGACTGAAAATAGTTTCAGGCACAGCCTTTCAGACACAGTTTTACAACCAAAGTATAAAGTGGTGCTATGTAAAAGACTCCGCAAGCAACCAGAGCTAATGAGTGCAGGGAATTGGTGAACTTGAAAAAGATATGTTTTCTCTCTTTTTTTCCCCATTATTTATTTCCAGTTTTTGAGGTCTTCAGGATTCTGTTAACAGCTACACACACAAAAGACTAACTACAGTGTTACTATACTAAGTATAGTACCTCACAAACCTATTCTACAGTTTGACTTTTACCTGGGGTAACTTGGTATTGCACCACAGTTATATGGAGAAAGACTAATATATATTTCCTGCAGATCTTACCCATAATTCTAATATAATAAAAGCCTTAGTCCATCTGTCTGTCTGTCCGTAATGCTTTTTGAGCACTCTGATCATCTCAGCAGTGAATCAAAATGCTGACTGAAACAACCAATCAGAATGCTCTGCACAGACAGACACACATGGTGGAGCACTGCCATGACAGCGAGGACTGAAGGGATACAGTGGGGGCCCCCCTGGCTCTGCTCCTTGGAGACAGCGGCAGCGCTGCCCATCTCTGTCCCCGCCATCATGGTGACGCTCCATCCCCAACAGAGAGGGATGGCGGGGACGGACTGGCACGGCGGAGCACTGCCATGCCAGCAGGGATGGGGAGGGGACAGAGCAGGGGGGCAAGGTCAGCGCTGCACTGCCAGCACCCTGCACCACCATCACCTCCAAGAAGCAAGGCCGGAGGAAGAGGGGCAAAGCCATCCCTTGGATGCAGTGGCAGTGCAGGGTGCTGGTGGAGGGGGACAGAGGGGATGGTGGGGCAAGCTACCACACTCCTGCTCCCGGAAGATGGTGACAGCATGGGGTGGTGAGTAGCAGCGCTCTGTCCCCCGCCTCCCTGCCACCTCCCCTGTCATGCTTGACAGGCAATTCGCTAGTCTGTACTATTAAAAGCCATTTTTAAATTAAGCTGACAACACTAAATATAATAATATTTAAGCAGGGGTTTAAGATCTATTAAATTCTATTCAGTAGCAGCACATACTTAGATGCTTTCCTGATTCAGGTAGTAAGGACGCAGTGGTAGTGTTTTATTTCTACATACCATTTTTTACAGTTCTCTATTGTGGGTATTTCTGTGGATGGTGGATAATATGTTTCATTCATATAACAACCACAGCCATCGTTTGGCACACATTTTTTGGAGTACTCATCATAAATGGGTTTCTCTGGAGGGCAGCTGGGGTAACAACCTATTAACCATAAACAGTGATATTTTTTAATATTAGTAGGTGTAAACATTTTCATGTAGTACCCATGAAAAACCACTCAAACCAGTGGATTTCAGGTGTTCACTGAACATGCTGAATATTTCCAATGGATCTATCAACATTACTAGGGTTGTGCAGTTTAAAGAAACCCCATTTTCATCATGATATAAAATACACATTTTTCCACAAGTCCTGAACACTGCACTGACACTTAATTCAAAATATATTGTGTATATACCCAGTAACTTGTAAGACAATACATCCTAATATAATCTTGTATTTACAAAAAAGGGTGTTTTCTACTTCCATACACGTTTAATCATATTCTCAATAGGATAATTTGTTAAAAGCATGGAAGTAACTTAAGTTCATAATAGATATTCCATTTATTCACCAAACTGTTAGAAATAACCTGTTCATACTATTTTGATAGATAAACCAGACAACGTCACAGATTTTTAAATTTCCTTATAGAAATTATAAGGGATACAGCTGCCTGAAATCCTCCACATAAAAATACATTTTTACTAGGCCTGTGTGAAACAGCTAGTATTTGCTTTGGATTTGGCCAATTCAGGGGACAGTGATTCGATTCGGTGATTCGAATCAATGTCCCAATCAATTCGGCCAAATCTAATTTGGATTATGGCCGCTGCTGAATTGGCCAAATCTCCAAATCAAACAGGCCCCATCCACCACCCACTCTCCCAGCCCCATCAATGGCTGCTCTGCCTGGCCCTAGCGTCCCGGCTCTTAAAAAAAAAAAGTCCCACACTCACCGGCTGCTGCCAGGCAGGGGGGTAGATCCTCATTGCCTCACACTGCCCTGCGCTGTATTGGAGGTGGGGAGCTCTGCCATAAGCCCCTATCACCCACCTGCCCTCCCAGCCCCATCAATGGCTGCCTCTCCCAGTCCCAGCATCCCAGCACTTTGTTGTTTTTTTTAAAGCGCCGTACTCATTGGCTGCTGCCAGGTGGGGAGCCAATCCCTGCTGCCCTCTGCACTGTGGGGGGTGTTCTGTCATGAGCCCCCAGAATCCCCAATGGCCACTGCAGCAGCCAGTGCATGCGGGACTTTTTTTATTTTATTTTTTTTAAGAGTCAGGATGCTAGGGCTAGGCAGAAAAACCATTGAAGGGCCTGGGAGAGTGGGCAGGTGTGGGGACTCATGGCAGAGCACCCCCCATGAAGTGCGGGGCAGTGGGAGGCAGTGGGGATCACCCCCCCCTGCCTGGCAGGAGCCGATGGCTGGGGGGCTTTTTTTTTTTATGCTGGGACTGGACAGAGCAGCCATTGATGAGACTGGGAGAGCAGGTAGGGACCAAGGGGCATTCAGGGAGGCTGAGGGAGCAGGCAGTAGGGCCTGGTGGGGGTCCCCCCCGTGGTCCCCTCTGCCTTCCTCCAGCCGCCCCCCCCCCCCCCCCCC